TTCAGCAGTGGGCACATTTGCCAGCAAAGTCCGAGGGGAGTTTTGCAGTATTTTTTTATTGCATAAGTAGCAGCCCGGATTCAGCCCGTAGTTATCTGGGAACCTGGGCAGCAGCACAGACACGTCCCCTTCCATGTGACAGAGAGCACTTGTCACACGCTGATACGGGGTTAGAGTTGCCTTCACCCCAGCCTTCACTCCCCCCATCCCTCTCCTCCCCCCACTAAATTCACCAGTATTGTTAGTGGACTGAGCCCGCAATCAGTCATCATGTGGAAGAAAAAATAGATCCGTTGGATTTACAGTGGCAGTAAGTGTATATTCTGTCCCTTTCTTTTGGCTAGTCCTGTAACACACAAACGCGTAGCTTAATAGTGAGAGATGATACTGGGACTGATCACCCGTATTTAAAAGTAAGGAAGAGGTCTCCATCCTCTTTCTGCTTTCCTAGTTCTTAATACTGATTATTGTTCTGTAGGATAAAAAGGAACTTAACTATTTAAAGTATTTATTAACTTTAACCACGTTGATTTTGATTTCAGGACATGTTCATTGTCCCAAATTTTCCTTCATAATCATGATTTATTTTAAAGGTTTTACAAAAACATCGTTTTATTTGTATCGATATTCAGTCTTTCCTCCTTTCACTCTTATCAGCAACATTAAACTTAGATATATGATTTAAAATTCTTACCGATAGAGACATTTTTACGGACTCATAGTTGTTATTCATTAAGGGCAAAATCCTTCAGACCTCATTCTGTTAATACCTTAGGCTTCACTGAGAGCTTTTCATAAGTAAGTATTTGGGGATCTGGCTCTCAGCTATTTGCCTGTTAAGTTTTTGCCTCCAAAGGTCAAATGTCTCTGTGTAGGATGCTTTGTGTCCAATACGCTGCTCAACTATGGTTGTTTTGTTGTACCTTTACTTTTGAAATAGTCTCTGAAGTTTTGTTCTTTAGGAGAATAGATGTATGTTTATTTGACAGATGTACCTATATCTAACATGTTACTTAGTGCACAATCCAGATGTTTTTGCATGTATTGTAACTTATCTTTTGATCTGAGGTTATTGCTTTGTATTGTTAGTAAGGCATATCAGGCAGGGTGTGGTGCCTATATGCTAATTAAACATTCTTTTTTTTCCTGAGTTTCAAGAGTCCTTACTGCTATCTGTTTTTTTTTTTACCCCCAGTGGTGAATAATTAAATCTACTTCTCCTGAATTACTGAGTCTTCTAGAGAAACATGGGAACAGAAAGGACAAGCCATTCATAAAAAGGGCAAAAATCAGAGATAATTCTGGGTCTTTTTACTGGGAAAGAATGGTTTGAATTATTGCATTTTATTCTTTGTTCGCTTATGCTGCATTGCAGCTGCTGTGGGCATCATTGGGAATAATGCTGATTTTAACTTGGAACAGAGAATGAAGCCTACTTCATACACAACTAGAAATGCTGATCCACTGTGAAGTGTACAGCATAAATAACTAAGAAAGACACGTAACAGATTAAACTGAACCAGTCACACA